AAAGATAGATAAAGGAAATGATTGTTAAGGTGATGGTTTGAAAGTGTAAGCTGAGTTATGAAAAATCTTACCAATTCTCTTATCCCCTTTTAGTTTTGCTAGGGCAATAAAGAGATATATTCTGTAAGATAAGAAGTAGTATCAGCAAAAAGCTTCAATGATTTGGCTAATTTTCTGTACTTATGGTGCTGCAGTTTGACATATCCCTGTTTTCAAATTGTGGATACATTGACATCCTTTTTTTAAAATAGTGCCTAGTGGCAACAATTTTCTTTTATTGTCCTGCATATGGATGGAATGGGAGCTCTAGAGGTAAAACTTGTATAATGCTAGAGGACATTCTCAAATATTTAGATTGGCTGTAAAATAATCCAGAAAATTTGATAGCCATGGTGCTTTGATTGTACCTAGTCAAAGCATTTTGTGCTGAAGTGTGGAATATTATATATGGAAAAAATGTTGTTAAATTAAGAAATGTGTTAGGTTATAGTTTCTAAATGTTTTATATGTGCAAGTTACTGTTTAACTTAAAAATTAAAATGGTTATTGAAAAGTTATCTAGAAACATGCTAAAGGTAATATTTGAAGTATTTGAAAATAAGGGTCTCATACAAGAATTAAAATAGTACATTGGCATTAACTGAAATTAATAATAGGTCATGAGTTCTTTAAATCTAGAATGACTTTAAAGACTGAATTTTGAAGTTGTAAAATAATGAGATTAGTTTTTACAAATCCTCATTTAAAAATCAGTGATTTGAACAAAAAATATCAGTCTGCTAGTTTTTTATCCACTGAAGAGTCTTGTTTACTTAATGTTACATGCCACAGGTTGTGGGTTCTATTAAATATCTGCCAGTGCATAAGAAGTAGATTCTGTTTAGGATTAGATAATTTCTTCAGATTATTCCATACACAGTAATGTGGGTATAAAAGTCTACCTTTGGATTTTATTGAAACATTAATGGTTTCTTTTGTTTGTTTTTTTTTCTGAAAACTTACTGTGTATTTTATTCAATAGGTACTATAGTGCTCAAAAAGACAGGTCTTCTCAGATCTGCATCATATGAAATGTTATACTGCCTAACACTTCATATTTTACTTAGCATTTGCATAAATGTATACAGGGCATTTGGAAACACATGAAAGTCTAACGTTTAGTTTTAAGCTTACCAAAGTGCTATCAATCATTATGAGAAACCATATCTGACTTTACACTTTCTGCTTTAGTTCTGCTATGATTTTCTTAAACACATAAGTACTATGATTTTTTTCAAAGGGCCCAACAGCCCAGCTGATTAATTTTCCTCTAGAGCTAAGCAATTGATTCAGAGAAAACTCCAGGTAGACTGAAGTTTAAAACTGTATTTGGATTTTTTTTTTTGCCCCGCAAGGTGTTCTGTGCAACTATAATACAAAATTTGCCTGACATTCTCTATGAGTGATGCTGTCCTGTCATATCTGAAACTCACTGAAGTCATAGCAAGAATCTTAACTGGCTGAAGTGCATAGGGAAATAAAGGAGTAACAGTGATGAGTATTTACCAATAACTGACTCTGTCAACACAATGATTCTAAAAATGCTGGAATGAGTTTGTATGTTATAAATATGACCTATTAATGTTTACCCAGTCTAAGGAAGGACTCATAGCTTGTATTTAAAACAATAGCATGTGTGTCAGAAAGTGGGATATGTCTATTAGCTGCATTTCTGCAGTATGTCTATGAATCTATAATTAAACATCGTAATTTATACATACATAGAGATATAGTGTAGATGTGCATATTCAACAAAAGAGCTCATAAAAAAATCTATTCAAGAGTTAGATACACACTGCTTTTACAAACTGTAGGTCTGAGAACAAATGCTTATTATAGTAAATATAAACATTACAAAGTAATTTAGAAATCCCATGGAGTTTCCCGTGTATGTTTGTACTGGAAGGTGAATTGTTTTATCAGAAAGAAGAAATATCCAATTGGAACTAAGTATAATTTTATATAGGACTTCTGTGAGTACATTTCTTCCTTTTGATTGACATTGAAAAAGAAAACATACACACACACAAAAGTGCTCTTCAGTTGTAAACATTATATGAATTGGAAAAGCAAGAAGTATCTGTTGTATCAACTTGGCTGTTCCATAATATTTTTTCTAATAGGCCTAATGTTTTTAGGTAAAAATAGTTTCTTAACATTACACTTACTAGAAGTGGAAAATTGTTACAGTGATACCATGGGTTAAAATAAGAGACCTGAAAAATATTTCATTTTAAGCTAAATTGTACATAGGTTAAATTTCTTGAGTAGCTACCGAAGAAATTGACAGCTACATCACTTTCATGTTGATGAACGGTACTCCTAATATGTTTTGAAAAGAACTGGGCCTATTAAGATAGGGACTTACAGATTTGCACCGGAATCAGGTTCTCTAGGACTGTTTGTCTCAAAATATACAATATTTCGCTGTAATAGTAAACAGAAATATGACAGAATGATACTTTTTATGCAGCTTAATAACAAGTGTTTAATCTTCTTTATAGAAAAAAATGGGTTATTAGTATCTTAAATACTTTGACAGAATTTGGAGTTTCAGAACAGAGTTCTTTTCCCATATTATTCCTAATAATAAAAATTCTAAGAAATGGAATTCTTTCTTAACGAACATTGGCTTTTTTGCCGTCAGAGGAGGGCTGTGTCATACTAACTGTCAGAGAGCAGCAATGACTGACTGCTCTTTCGAGCACTGGGAGTGAAGAGGGAAAAGCCAAATGGCAGGGAAGGGACCTTGCTGATGCCCATCCTGCTGCCTCCAAGGGAGGCAAGTGGGGCAGGCACCAGAGTGGTAGCCTAGTTCTGCTTAGAGTCCAGGTCATCAGACAGTTAAACTCTATTAGCGTACTGAAGGCCCTGACACTGGTTCCGCTAAGTAACAGCAAAATTTCTGATCAATTGTGCTAATTTTTATCTTGATGTTCTTTTTTTCTTCTAAAACATTTTTATATTTTACTTCTTCCTATGATTAGAGAAAGTCTTGTATTAGATAAATTCTTAGATTTCTTAAGAAGAAATTAATATTAACCATCTAAAACAGTACTTAAAGACTGAATAATCAAATGTTGCTTTTTTTCCATAAACCAAGACTGAAAGAAATAATTGCTCTATTTTGACAAGTGAACCAAAGAAGTATGACATAGAAGTCTTGCAGGAATGCATGCATGAAAACAAGGCTGTCATGTTTACAAAATGATTTTTTTCGTATGGTGAATTTTTCAGATAGTAAACTATACTGATATTTTTCTGAGGAACACAAACTTCTTTTGGCTATCCTTTAAGGAGAAGAGCTAGGAATAAATATAAATACACAATTTTGATTGTGCAGCTATTTTATGAAAACTCTAAATTGTTCCAATCTGTTACTATTTTTGCATTAACATATATCTGTTACACAGTTCCTTTTACACCAGTCATATTGTTCTGCAAGAATAGTCAAATAAAGGACGGGTGTGAGCTACAGGTATTGAATGGAGTTAGCATCACATTCTGTAGAAACTCTTCGAGATCCTTCTGAAGAGAAGAGGGATGTGTTACCATGTCTATAATAAGTAGTATCGTACATGAAGAAAGAGCTTTATTTTAAGTATTCCTTTTGTCTCAGTTCTGTAAAGCACTGTTTAATGTTTTCCATTTAACTTCTACTTTTAATTATGATGTCTTTTATTGCAGTAACATCTGTTAAGTCTTATATTCAAGGGCTGATCTTTCCTTGATATTTTATAAGATGTATTTGGTTTACATCCAAGCTTTTTCACCAGCAAGATGACTGAGTTTCAGCTACGTCCCAAAATGTCAAAAGTCTTTGAATTGTTATTTGCGAAGTGGTATTCTGTAGCTTCTAAGAATTTAAGAAAACAGTATTTCCATGAAATATTTCATAGTGTTGTGCTGTTAATTGAGAAGTGCAAGATATTAGGCTTTAAAGGACCTTCATGTTTGTTTTGGAAGAGCAAAATCAGAAATGTGCAGTTCTGCTACCTGTAGGTCTACACTCTTATATGACCAAAAACTATCAAAAAACTTCAATCTGTTTTTCTAGTAGTGCCTCTTGATAAATTACCAATGAACACTGTAGTTGCTTTATAGAAAAATATTGCTTGCAAGAAAAATAATGGATTTACTAATTTATTTTGTTGCCCAAACATTGTGTGCATCTGAATATTATGTTTGTTCCACATATAGTTGCTGCAGTATGAGTAGTATTATTAAATACTAAATAGTAGACATTAGATATACTGACTAATAAGTTTCCACTTTTTATGTAATTTTTTTCTTTAGTTTTGGTAATAAGTCATCACTGGTTGTAAGAATGACCTAAAACAGGTAAAAATAACTCCACTAATGCTTTGCTTCCGTTATAAAGACTCATGGGATTTAGTGTATTAGTTTGAATAGGCCAGTGGATTTAACCTGTGTTTTAGCGACACAGTTGTTGAGTAAAATGAGTACAAAGCAAGATGACACTGGGTTTATGATACGTTGTAGTGTTTTACTCTGGATTTTTGTGTTTTAAATATTTGTGATGATGTGTGGAACTTCCAGAAAGTAGTTATGGACGGAAATTATAAGTACACAGAAAGTAATTTTACCCTCTAATGTATGTATTTTTAGTTTCCATTTATAATAGTGAGAATTACTTGTCTAAATCAAAAAAAATTAAGAAAGCTACTACTGTGATTAAGGTAAAAGAACTGATTTCTTTAAACTGAAGAAATGCAAGATACTATGAAATTTATCTCAGCATTTATTTTACTGGTTTCCCTCTGTAACAATCTACTCAGAAGCATGCATAAGGTGTACTATTCAACACTAATTTTATAATTCCATACATAAATGATTCCCTTGTTAATCTAACACTTCCAGGGAACAAAATGTTGTACATTTTGGTACTTCTAGTCTGCCTTTTTTCATTATTTAACCATTTTACTGTATCTGGTTTACAGATTCTAAAAATGGAATGGGGAGGAGAGTATTCACTTGATTCTTCCAATTTAGACTGTTTGTTAAATGTCCTTCCTGGAGAATTGGAAATTCAACAAATCCTGAGTGATGTTGATGAGAAAATAAAGAACAACTCTTCCAGGTAAAGAGTATTTTATTTGTATCCAAAATATTAATGAAAGTCATTACAAAGAAATGTGGCTTACCTTTTCTAGTTGTAGATTAAAATTCTGATAAACATTTCAACAGTAATTCTATCTAAACCACCTGAGCATTTAACAGATTTTTAATGCCATATAATTATTGTGCTATAGTCTTTCTCTTTATGGTACTTTTAACAGCTGAATCATCTTAATCTTAGGTTTTATTGCAGTAGGTGTGATAGTGAAGGAAGAAAATGTGAATTCACATGACAGTTGTGTTTCCTACAACTATTAGATGGAATTTTTATTCTATAAAAGAGCTACAGAATTTGACAAAAAGCAACATTTGAACTCGGTATGTTCTTTAAGCATTTGTAATGGAAGTAGAACAAGGAAGTAAGTTAATATATGTAGAATTTCTTATGTAATCTGTTGTATTACCTATTTCAGTTAAAATTCTTGTGCTGCAATAGAAAGTTTTCTAAGTAGAATTTGAAATATATTTCTTTGCCCACTTCTTTGTAACATACTGATTTCCAATAATCAATGTTATAGAAACAGTGGGCTTCTGAAAGAATTCATTGTTGATGCAGATTTTTTGCATGACTACAACATAATTAGCTCAAGGTTCTGTGCCTTATTTGTGGCTAAATTCTTTAGTACCTTTTTAATACTTTGATTGTGAAAGATGCTCTTCAGTAAATAGACTTATTGTCCATTAAAAAAAATAAGTGTACATTCAGAGATAAAACATATGACATAATTTAATACTGAATTTTGAAAATCCTTGCCCTTGGATAACAGTGCATCTTACAAAGTTTTATGATTTCAAAGAACTCCCTTCATGACATCTATTTTAAGGTTGTATAATTTTAATGTTGCTCACATTTGTGAGAGGAGGTCTTTGCTGTTCCCAAGCAGCTTTCTGAAGAATGGAAGTAAACCATTGCCTTATCTTGCTGAAAACTGACTTAGATCATCTCTGAGTTATTGTTATATTGGTTATGCCAGGCTGAGAGATTTTCCGGGGGGAGGGGGTTATTTATATCACTCTCATCTCATATTTTCATTTAAAAACTTAGTGTTTACTAAAGTATTTACAGTATTAATAATCCCAGGGTAATAATGATATTGAAGATCTGGGAAGTATGCTGTTGAGGACCACTGCATAGTACAATTTCATGTTACAGTTTTTCAGCAGTTGACATCAGTGAAACGTAGATACTTACATAGAGTTTAGTTGATGTCATAATGCAGTTAATTACACAGGTAATTAAGTTTTGAGTGTCTTTGGTCTTATGTATCTGGAAAAAAACAGAAACAGCATTTTTTGCAGAACTGTTGTCACCTCTTCAACTACCAAATAAAAGTGATTTTGTTGTCATTATGCAGAGACAGCCGTAGAGTTAGGAAGATTATTATCAAGATGAACGTTTAGAATTAATGCTTTACTACTGTTTTTGGTTTCAGTGTGTGTAAAATGTATGCTGCTTGTGGAGAAAGCTTTTAGCTGTGGGAAAGCAAGCCAGCTGTCCATTCCTTTTAGTGGTACTTTATGTCACCGTTTTGTGTTACATTTTACATTAATGTCATCACAGTGGAACTGTTCTGAAGAAGGCTGATTGTGACTTGCACCTAGTCCTACAAATTAGAAGGACCTTTCATTGTAAGTTTTGTAAGATCCTAAAGATATTTTATCAAAGGAGAGCATGAAACTGGATTGCCAGGAAAAGTTTTGTATTTTTGCTGAATTGACACCTAAACTAGTTTTTAATCTAATTTTCACAAGGAAAACCAAAAAGTAGCTCTGTAGTTACCAGCTGATATTTTGCTTCTCTAATATGTCAGTTTCAGAAATGGAGAAGAGTTTAAAAGGAGATGGTGGCAGCAGCTGATGTGACTTTTAAATTAAAAAGAGTCCTTTTATTGCAAATATCTTAGAGGTATAATGGAATTAAATAATTTTCAAGTTATCATTGATCTTTGTGAGTGGTATGATAAGAGCAGATCTTTGTGCTATGGTGATATAGTTGAAATACAATCCATTTTTCATCAGATAGATTTATGCTTTTATTAGACCACCAAGAATGAACACAATTGTATATAGTATATATATATTTTTAAAAATGAAACATTGTGTAAAAAATTGTGAGGCAAAAGTTTGTAAATCACTTGAATGGTCATTTATTGCCTTCCTACTGAATAGATTTTATTAAATTGTGTGACATGTCAAATCAGATATACTTTTCAGCAGTTGAATTTCCTTCCTTGTTTTTCTATTATACCAATTCTATTTGATGCTGTAACAAAACAAAGGCTGTCTGTGTGAAATTGTTTTATTTGTAAATTTGAAGGTAGTAAGTGGTTCATTCATTCACTATTATATAACAGTTTTCTCCCCGGCCGGCCCTGGCCACACTGAGGGACTTTCTCCCCAGCTGGCCCCACCATGCCAAGGGGGCTTCTCCTGGCGGCCATGGGGGCTGCAGGCCGGAGGACAGGAGAGGAGGAACTTCAGAGTGCACAGAGGTTTGCCAGTCCAATTTGCGGGAGGGGGAGGGGGTCCGATGGGCCATGGGATCCCCAGACAGGCGAGAGGGTGGACAGAGCAGTCCTGCTTGGAGGGTTGTGAGTGGGCAGTGCGAGAGAGACCTGTAGTAAAATATGTCCATGGGCAGGATGGGCTCGCTAGCCTTTCAGCAGTCATCCTAGGAGAAGGACAACTCTAATTCCAAACCCGGGCAGACAGAGCTCGCTTGGCCCTGTAAGGCCATCCATCCAAGAGAAGGACACTCTAATTAAACCTACGTCCTGAGGACCTTGCTGTCACCATCCAAGCTCACTAGGCCCTGGCAGATGAACCTTAGGAGTAAAGGGTAGGTCCAGTTCTGCTCATGCTGCGTCTCACCTAAAAAATCCATTGCGCAGGCTCGAAGGATATGTCCACATTTGTAAAGCCCTGTAGCGACAGGCGAGGGACGAAACGGCAGGTGAAAGGTGCACTGGAAGCTGCAGACCCAACCCTGCATGCAGGAGGTTCAGGACATTGGTCACCTGAGACTGCCCCCAGAGATGACAGTCTCTTTCGGCAGCATCCTGAATGACCAAGCAGCCTTTTTCAAGGAGACCACTGCTTGCTCCACACGGAGAGGGGCCTAGAAAAGATGACCTAACCAAAGCTCATCTCCACCCTTCACCCGGTTGGTTAACCGTGGCCAATGGGCATCTTCTGATGAGGTCAAACAAAGTCTAAGAAACAAAGGCATACACCTGCCTTCAAAGGTGTACCCAAACTGACACATGCTGGAACATCAGAACCATGCTTGATACTGTGGATAGTGGTCGTCCTGAGCATCATTCTGCCCTAATTGCCCACAAACTGTAACGTCTCAATATCAGCATTGCTGTTCTCAGTGAAGTTTGTCTCTATGAGGAAGGCAGCCTTAGAGAACATTGGTCAGGTAAACCCAGAACCGAAAGGCATCTCTCAGGAGTTGGCTTCATGATTAAAAACTCTGTTGTCCCTAAACTTGAAGTTCTGCCGACAGGTCACTCTGACCGCATTATCTCCCTACGCCTTCCACTACACAACAAACAACATGTTGTCCTCTTTAGTATATATGCCCCAACTCTCCAAGCTGACCCTGCCAAAAAAGATAAATTTTACACGATCCTGCGCTGCCTTACCCAAAAGGTTCCTGCAGAGGATAAGATCATTATCCTTGGTGATTTCAATGCCAGAGTAGGAAAGAAATTTGAAGCCTGGAAAGGAGTATTAGGCAAGCATGGTGTTGGAAACTGCAATGATAATGGTCGCCTTCTGCTAGAGTTTTGTGCGGAGCAGCAGCTCACCATTACCAACGCTATCTTTCAGCAGAAAAATAGTCTGAAGACAACCTGGATGCATCCTAGATCTAAGCATTGGCACTTCATCGATTATGTCTTGGTGCAACAGAGAGATGTTCATGCTGTAAACTTAACTTCCACCTTAAGTTCAAACCTAAAAGGGGCAGTATTCAAGGAGGAGACTCCAAGTCAATGGTCTTCAAACAGCTACAGTGAGAGACAGATTAGAGGCAAAACTTCAAACTAGGCTCGAAGATCATTCCGTAGATCCCTCTCCTGAAACACTTTGGCAACATATTAAAAATAGCATCCTGCAGTCCTCTGAAGAATCCTTAGGGTTCTCCTTCAAGAAGAACAAGGACTGATTTGATGAAAACAATCAAGAGATCCAGGAACTGTTGTAAAGAAGAGAACTGCTCACCAAGCACACCTTGCTCACCCATCTTGTCACGTAAGAAAAGCAGCCTTTCATCTTGCATGCAGCAAGCTGCAACAGAAACTTCGTGACATACAGAACAAGTGGTGGATCAATCTAGCAGAAAAAACTCAATTATGTGCAGATACGGGTGATCACAGAGGATTCTATGAAGCCTTGAAAACAGCATATGGGCCTACATACCAGGTCCAGAGCCCTCTACTCAGTGCAGATAGTAAAATGCTTCTGACAGATAAAATCTCCATTCTGAATTGATAGTCTGAACACTTTCAGACTCTTTTCAGTACTAGCCGTGTAGTTCAAGGCTCAGCAATTCACTCCATCTCACAACAACCGCTGAAGAATGAATTGGATATTGCCTTTACTATGGGAGAAACTCTTAAGGCCATACAGCAGGTGAAAACTGGCAAGGCAGCTGGGGTTGATGAAATTCCACCTGAAGTCTGGAAGCATGGAGGCCAAGCACTCCATGCTAAATTTCACGAGTTTGTGGTGCGTTGTTGGGAACTAGGCCAACTACCATCAGACCTTCGTGATGCAGTCATCATCACCTTGTATAAGAAGAAAGGAGATAAATCAGACTGTTCAAATCATCGAGGTATTACTCTGCTCTCCATTGCTGGCAAAATCCTGCTGGCAAGAATACTTTTGAACAGACTATAGCAGAAGAACTTCTACCTGAAAGCCAATGTGGTTTCAGAGCCAACAGGAGTACCA